TAATGATTATTGAAAAACATGCAAACTCCTAGAAGTCCCTAGCCCTACTCATAATACACCAATAGACAATAATGAAGCTTTTGTAATATTCTGTGTTTATATACATGTGATGCGTGTAAATTAAAATGTATGCTAGAATTATTTAATGTATTTATATTGTCATAAAAATTAACAAAAATCACATTGGATCATACATTTGTATACTAGTAGTATCTAGGTATATATTCATCTATCTAAATACATATAATCTATATCCTTGAATTGTAACTATATCAGTCGTATTAAAATAATATATTTTTCTTACAATAAGCATAATGCTTAAATTAAAAAAGTATTATGTTATTAATTTTATATAATACTATATTGAATAAGATAGTACAGCATAGTATTATTGTAACTTGTAATCAACAAATAAATAATATGGATAGATTATTTATCATAACAATTATTAATTATTGTAAGAACAGTACACTAGTAGGGGGACAACAAACAAGCACCAAAAATAATTTTGGATTAATTGAAAAAAAAATGTAGAGCCATTTATTGAGTATTGATGTTTCAGTTAAGAATAATAGCTTATACCATAGTATTGTATATTTGTGTATTGTTTTATTCTTTTATAAATCTAGTCAATAACATAAAATACTGAAAACATGGTTATGTAATAAATTAATTTGGTTTATTTGTATTCAGTAATCACTAAACAGTAGTGATTTACATTATGACAAATATTAAGTGACATAATTTATTACCAATATTGATATATTATATAATATTGGTTGATTTTAAATCTAAATTGTATCTTTACAACAGTTGAATAAAATAAAATATAGAATTTCAAATGCAAGATTCAATACACATCAGATAGTAAAAAAATCTAGTAAATAATTATTATATTCTATTTAAAAGTTAAAACAATATTATTCAAATCTCAATTAATATAAAATGTCATAAAAATTCTAAAAAGTGCAACATTTAATTTGATATATCCATTTAATAAGGCAAGAAACCTAAATTTTTTCATAACATTCCATAAATACTATATTTTAGTTAACTAAGGCAAATATATTTTCTTATTTAGCTCAAAATTGATTTGATATTAAACTTTATGAAAATTACTTTAAAAACTAACAGAAATAAAAGAAACTCAGGCTTTTATGTATTTAAAATAACAATATATATATAAAATTTATAAATTTATTTAATATATATCAAATTGTTATGATAAAATTATGTCTTCAATATGTAACTAATGCTTTTATATCAGTATTATATAAGGAACTAATAATCTCAATTTATAGTTTTGAAAAAAACAAAAAGATTTTTTAAACTTTAATTTGAAATAGTATTAGTTATATTTTTAATATACCTTAATTTGAATTGACATAATTTTAATAAATTAATTTTTAATTTTTCAGTAAAAATGTTTTGTTGCGTGATTTGTAATAAACTCATTGGAGAATCTACCTATTCAACTCCATGTGGCCATGTTTACCATTTTAAGTGTATTACAGAATGGTTAAATAGGTAAAACAAATTTTAATATTGCTAATTAAATTTATTGTTTAAAAAGATGTTTATTTTTTGTCCGAAGGTCACCAACGTGTCCAACTTGCCGAACCAATGTATTGCACAACGATTTAATCAAACTTTTTATGCCGGAAGACAAAAGATATAAAATCACCCCAAAAGAAGAACTGGATTCATTAATGTAAATATTTTTATATATGAAACACATTGTATATCGTATGAAGATGATACCTATAATCTATACATTTATTAAAAAACAGTTAAAACTCTAGTTGTTTTCTACTCATATAATATATAAATCTTATTATGATTTTACATCTTGTTATATAATTATACATTTTGACTGCTGAGTTTATATTTATAAAAAACTTTAAATAAAATAGAAATGTTGATTTTAAATCTAAATTGTATCTTTACATCAGTTGAATAAAATAAAATATAAAATTTCATTTTTTCAAATTGGGTTTCAAGGTTTACTATTCATAATAACTTTTGATTAAAATAAAATCTATTTAATATGTATTTATTTCAGTTTTAATAAAAAATACTGTCAATACATCTAATTTAAAAGCTAATCAATTAAACTAATTTATAATTTTGTCTTTTACTTACTGAATATTAATATAAATAAAACTAACAAAACTTAAACTAAATATAATATATAGAATTAGCTTAGTAAACAAAGGCTTGTATAAAAGTAATTTTAATTCCATTTTTTTAATTTGTTTTTCTAATAAAAGTATCAATTAACATTTTTTTTTAAATAAAACTAATTAAGTATTACATAATTCATTATTTATTACAGCAACAAATTATTATTAGGTCAGATGGATGGGATAAGCTTTTAAAGATTTCAATATATACATTATACAGAAACCCTAAAAACACTATCAATTTATTTCTATAATTAATATAAAATTTTTATTTTAGGAAAAAATCACAATTACTAGAAAAGAAAAGTATAAGTAATGCTCACATACTCAATGATATGAAAAAGAAATTACATGAGACACAGATGGCCAGAAGAAAAAGTAAAATTGATTACATGCATTTAAACAAACTATTTATAGATACAAGATTGAAATTAGAAGTTTGTATTTCTAAGGAAAACAACACACCTAAAATAGTGTAAGTTATTTTGGGACCTAGTTCTTAAAATAATGCATTTTTAAAACTAAGTAATTTAACTATTCTTTTATTTTTTACAAAACAGTTCAATTGATAAAAAATATAATTCAGAAAAATTTAGAAATATGCTATTAAAACAAGAAATGTATGAATTACAATCATTAAATTTAGCTGAGCTCAAGTATGTAAATGTAGATTTGTTTACTTTAAATATGTAAGATTTGATTATTATTGAGTATTGACAATTTTTTTAATTTTTTTATTATTGATCAATTAGCAAATTAAAATCTAAAATATCAAATTTTAAAAGAGAAAAAGGGCATTTTCTAAAGACGACAAATAATATACAATCTTATTTACCAAATACGTCAAGGGTATGTTTACTATTTCTTTTATACATTGATTTATTATATATTTTTACAATAAAAAAACATTGTTATGTATGTTTGGCCTTCAATTGAAATTGAACTTTAAAAAAAACTGATAAAACCAAAAATTTAGTTTGTCAGATGTTTAAAATACTTAAGTAATTTCTTCAATATAGACATGTATATCAAATTGAAGGCTATCTAGTAAAAGATTAAATTTTATTTACTATGTTTCTTTGAATTAATTTAAAAGTATATTTCAGGTAAATGTTTGCAACAAAAATAAAGTTACTGAGAAAATAGAACTATCTAAGTTACAACTCCAGTTAAAGCGTAAGATAAACAAAAATTATTTTCTTATTAAAAACAATGATTAACAAACATAAATTTAAGTTAAATTAACTAAACACATGAAAAAAAAAAAAAAAATGCTTGTAACAGTAGCTTTTCTTAGGTGCTGCTAATGGGTGACTTCCTCATTTATAAATTTTAGACAAAACTATTATCCGTTTATTCCTTGAATAACATTAATTTTTCCTTCATGTGGCAAAATTGAAAAACCTTTTATTTTGCACAGAGTATCAAGAGTAAGATAATTTTTGAAGTGTTAGATCTTCATTTACAATTTATATAGTGGTATAGCCAGAGTTGTTGAATAGGGGGGGGGATTTGAGGTTTAAGTGTGATGGAAGACTCAAAATTGTAGCAGGTCATAACAAAGAAAGCAAAAAAAACTAAAAAAACACACATTTTAATTAGAATTGTTCTGTTTATAATTAAAAGTATTTGAACTTCATTACATTAACCATAGACTTTTTGTTTTGATTTTTAATTTACTGAATAATAAATATTAAAATAATTAAATAAAAATCAATGGGGGAGGGGCTACAATATCTAAAACTCCCCTGTCAACGCCTCTAATTATATATATATATATATCTTTGTTGTGTTATCAATTTTCTTTGTATTTCTATCATTGCAACTGATTTTAAGGGTTTATAAAAGTAACCCCAATGGCTTATAGAACTATGTGTCCTCTAGAAAATTTGTAAGCCGACAGTACACCCAGGTTAGATTGGTTTACCTCCAAAATGCAAAATAAAAATCAAACACAAAATATTGAATACAAAATAATGAAAATCATTTAATTGAAAGAATAAATAGCGAATAAAAAATAATGGAAAATATAAAAAAAAATTAAAATTATGACAAAAATTATTAATTTTGTTGTACCTATGCATTGTTTATTTTAATTAATATTTCATAGGTAACTATGAAAAAAATAATAAAATATTAATAAACTAATAAGTTAAATTATAGGCAATTCCTTTAAAAAACCATAAATTATCATCTTAGTCATATATTTTACCAATTTTTGAATCCGTTCAGCTGAATCTTTGTACTTATTTTTTTTCCTTATATTATTCATGGATAACTACTAAACTGATCATCTACTTTTGTCTGAAGAAATCATTATTGATATTATTGTCATTCGCTTTTATTTAGGTTTGTCCAAACAGCTTTCACTATTTTTAGTTCTTGGTTTTTTTTTTTGTTATTTTATTTTTGCTATTATAACAGGATGCCGGTTAGGTTAGGTTTAAAATTTTATGTATTAAAGTAAAAAACAAAAACTTGACTAAGGTTATAATTTTAGAAAATTTTAAGACTAACTTGTATTTTAACTGTATTTTTATTTTAATGTAACTTTGACTATTAAAAAAAAAGTTATTTACCTCCCAGTTTTTCATATATATTATATTATAATCTCTTAATACTCTCTAAGCTTATGTAAAATATCTACTAAATTATTACATAATGTATGGGTTTAAGTTATTACAGTTATTTTTTTTTTTTAATTTACAGCATCTACTGAGAAGGGATTTTTATCTGATTGTCACTTCTGGATTGTTAATGAACATAAAGAACTTCCAGGTGGTTCAAATCGCCTATATTTTAATGAACAACGTGTAATGGAGCACGGTGGCATTCTGGCTTATCGTTACTCAAATGAAGTAACTCACGTGATTTGTAACAGCCAAAAAAATAATGAAGTTTTTAGAGTAAAAATAATATTTTGATATCTTGTGCAAATAAGTAATTATTTAATATCGTAATTTTTTCAGGCTTTATCAGATCATAAAAAATGTGTGACTGATTACTGGCTGAGTGATATTATTGGTGAAAAAAAAATAGTTGAACCTTGGTTAGCTCATCATTTTCCTATACCATACAGGTAAAATTTTTTTGTTATATTTGTTAATATATTATGTATTGTAATATATTACAGAAACTACACAATCACATTCTATATATATTTTCCTTAAAAACAAGTGTTGGTGCTGGTTAGGTTAGGTTGTTCTGGATCTAAATGCAATGAATTAAATATTTTGAATTATTATATTTCAGCTATAATAATTTACCATGTGAAGATTATCAGATAGCAATCGTAAATTTTAATAAAAATGATCATTTTAGAGTCAAAGTTATGGCAGAAATTGCGGGTGCTTGTGTAACTAATAAAGTTTCCCATAATACTCATGTTGTAATTAGCCAGAAGTAAGTTGTTTTTATTAATACACTTTATAATCATAAATTGCTGTATAGTAAATAATAGTTAAGTGACAAAACTAACACAACACTGTAACAGTATTTTTAATTAAAAAGTAACAAATATGTAATGAAAATTACTATTGATAATCAATTCCTACAAATTAATGATTTATTATTTCAATTTATTTCAAGCATTATAAATTGACAAAAAATATAATACTTTAAAATGACTAATGTAATAAGAATAAAAATATATATATATATTGAATATAGAGTAATTCATTAATGTAAGACACTAATATTTTTTGATAATTTATATTTAAAAAAAGTTTTAACTTTTTCACTCTGGAATGACACCCTATATTTTTAATTTTATATTTCAAAGCAAAATATTTTTTGTGCTCTTCAACCTTCTTCTGCTGACATTTAGTACTCTTTGAGAGTTTTCATCCTCATCACAATTCCCCTTCACTTCACTCTGTCTTAACCTATTGTTTTCCATTCTTGAACTCCAAATTTATTGAGATTCTCTTTTATCTTATCTATCTATCCATATCTTTCTAGATCTCTAACAAATTTCTACGAGTTCTTGAATGTATTGAAATTAAACACTTCAGATAAGGAATTTGTAAATTATAACTTATAAGTATTTAAAATTAATATGAGTAGAATAGTGGACCAACATTTTGTGGAATACCTCTTGACTAGGTACTTCATTCTGCTTATCTAAATTTTAAATACTTGTAACTCGTAAACTACTCATCAAATATTCAATTTTTATAAATCGAAGTACTCTAATAATTATGCTTTTTTAATAACTTACTTAATGAAATATTAGGGCACATGCTGCTTGGCATAGTCTTTGTTGTTCTTTGTTCTTAACACTTTCATCTGTATTGCTTTATCTATGGTTATTAAATCCTTTAAAGCAGTTGTTCTCAATCTTTTTAGGACTGCAACCCAAATTTTTTTCCAAAAATCTATCGCGACCTCCATAGTTTTACATTTACAGAATCAAAAAAGTAATTTCAAAAACTAAATTGTTTTATTATTTACTATTTTATAATAATAATAATTGTAATAATTCTTATGTTACTTTATACTATTATTATAGTTCTATAGTCTATTTATAAAAACATAAATTTCTTACAATCTGTATAATTAAAAAAAACTTCTCGCGACCTACAGTTTGGGAAACACTGCTTTAAAGTACAATATCTAAATTCTAATTATCTTTGTCTTTATCTATCACTATATCTTTTTTTATTTAGTTCCTCTTACAATATTATTTACTGCATGCCAAGTGTTTACTAAATACTTGGGTTTTTTCTTATTGATGACAAGGTTCATTCTGTGTCTATACTCAATTAATTTCTTTATAATTTTAACTTATCATTTTATCAACTATCTAACAAAAAAATACTATTATAAAAACAAATTATAGAATATTAAATGCTATAAAATGTTATGTTTTTCTTCTTAAATCTATTATACTTAAAAATAACACTACTATAACTGTATTACTGTATTATTAAAATTTATAAGCACATAGTTGCAACTAAAATCGTAGGTATTGTTTAATATTTAAGTATAATATCAGACTTACTTTTATCATAACCCATTGATTTTATGAATATACAGTCCACTATCAAACCTACCAGTCATTAGATCAGTGTGCCCAGACAAAAAAGTTCACTCAAAAGATATTTTTATTATAATAATAAAATAAGTTGTATGAAGTAAAAAATTTGTAATGTTATTGAACTTAAACAAATACTTATTCTTGCCTTCGGATCTTGTCTGTAAAACAATGTGATAAAATTCACATACTTTAATTATAACACATATTACTATTATACAAATTAACTATTTAATAATAATTGAATGTACTTAAATTTGTAATTATAGTTTAGAAGGTGAAATAATAAAAAGAGCTTTAACTTTTAAAATACCTGTGGTAAATGTTCAATGGATAAGTGATATACTTCTTGGTGAAAAAATTAGCTTTCATGATTCAAATAAAATAAAATATCAACAATTTGAATTGTGCGATCCTTTTTCAATAAATGCTGTGAGAGTATCACATTTGATGGGTATGCTATGAATGAATTTGTTTTTAGATATACATTGTTTTTTTTTTTTTGTTTTATAAAAGTTCTTTTTAATGTTTAATGTTTATAATTCAATACTATTTTATAACAATTAATTAGATAATGATGAAAAATAATTATAAATTCTTAATATTAAATTTCATTATTTTCAGAGGCGTGGAAAGACCCTTCAAATAATTGTATTAAATTTGTACATAATACAATTGTAAATACATCTACTTCAAATAAAAGAATGAAAACGTGTATTATACATGATTTTTCAATATCTGATAATAATGATGATGGCGAAAGTAATGTTGAGTCTGCATTAACTATATCAATGAATAATGAACTTATGTCTTCTTGATAATCAACTGATTAAACCTTAAAAATAAAAAAAAAGGTAAACTATCTCATAAAAAAAATAAAATGTATAATTTAATTTATTGTTGTGTATAAAAAGGGGTAGAATCATCAAAATCAATTTTTTCAGGAAAATTAAATATAGTAGTTGATGTTAAAGAAAATCAATCTATTTTCTATGTAAGTACATGACTTAAGTTCTTGAATATAAATATAAAAATACTTTTATCTATACTTAATGAAGTCTTATACAATTTATTATTTTAAAAAGGTATATACTTTGAAAAAATGAAAATGAATTGATTGATACCCCGTCTCTATCAAAATGTGTCATCTTTATCAGCATCATAGGCCTTGGATATATACACAAGAATGACAGTGTGGGTAGCTGCTTATTCTGCTAGCTAATTATTTTTCAAATATACGAAAATCTAGAATTAAGACTGATATTTATTAATTATTTTTAAAAATACTGTTATGATTAACTAACATTGTTTTACTTAAAATATATAAATTATTTTTATAAAATGTGTTATTTCAATAATTAAGAAATTAATTGATTGTTATTTTTATCAAGGACTGAGCTCAAGAAGCCCAGTGTTTAATGTTTTAGGAGGCTATAACTTATAGTCTTCTAGTTAATACAAATAAGCGACTGTATGTTGAAATCTATAATAAAATAAATAACTTTAAATTATTACAAAATGAAACAAAATATTTTTAAGTAACATAAAAAGACTAGTTAAATGATTGCTTTTTACATTATTATAGAAACATTAAAGCATTTCAGCTATATAACAAAATTACATTATATAAAAAATACCTTAATAGAAAAGATATCCATACTGATAATTGAGAAGAATATAAACGTAAAGTATATAATTTATGTTTAATACAAATTGTAAACATTATTTTTTTTATGTATGATTGCTGTCTTTAATATTGTATAATTGTTTTATGTTTAAATCTAATTAAGTTTAGTTTTATAAAATTATTTACTTAAATATTATAATTTCAAACTTTTTAATACAAAATTAAATTATTTTAGTTATATCAAAACTTAATATTTTAAATTTTGAACAGATGAATGTGTTGGTTTTACATAGATGTGTATCTTTTTTTGGGTATGTATTTGAAAAAAGCTTCGATTTTCAACTTTGAAGTTGGTTTACAGAACTTCCAATTTCATTTACAATTTTATTTTACACAAAATTATAATGTTACATTAATTTGCATTAACATTACTACAATGTAAATAGATCAAGAACTCTTTCTTAATTGTTTTTATCAGTCTGTTTTTAATAATATTTTATTTAGAAAAAGTTTGATTACTATTAAATTTAGTACAGAATATGGTAACAATGTATTTGTGTGTTAAGCTGAAGTTTAAAAATATAATTATATAATAAAATAACATTTAAATAATTAATATAATATAATTTTAAAATTAAATGGTGCATACCTAATAATATTTTATGTTAAAGGGAATTAAGTTATTTTACATTATTCTATAGGTATATCAACTTACTAAGTGTCAACTTACATTTATTAATTAATTGTATTTCTTAATTTTAATTTATACATTATATTTATTGTTAAAACATTATTATTATTATTATTAATACCATAGTAGATATAAAGGTATGACCTATAGATATATTCATAAAATATGTAGGTACCTACTATCTACATACATAATATACCTAATAATTATATTAAAATATTTAAGCCCATAACAGTTACAATCTACATTTCCAGGTTTAAAGAATACAAAATATTATCAGGAAATTTTAAATAATAAATTTAGTGTTGACCTATATAGCTATAAAATTTATTAAAAATTATTCAAACATGTTAACACATTATACTTATTTATACATGATTACCAGAGTAATTTAAACTTGTAAAGTAGAAAGAAGAATAAATTTAGGTAATGAAACATAAATAAAAATAAGATATTTTATATTATTATTTATTTAATAAATATACGCATGTAATTCTAAAAATGGATCTTGGTATACCGCCTGCTCTGTCCAGCCCTGACAGTGACTTGCTAAATGATAAGTTGCACTCAACATCTCTACTTACTGAAAGCAAAATGAATATATCCCATCTACACCTTTCTTTTCACTTATATTATTGCTAATACAGCAAAATGACTTCAACATATTATGTATTTTTGAAGTGCACACAAATTTGTTAAGTCAACCGCACATTTAATATTTCTTACAGTACTAAAATTGTTGTGTTCTGTACTGCACTTTATATTAGTCAATAAAGATTCTGTAATTATATTTATAATGCCAATTTGTGTACATCTCTCTTTTTAGTATGTTAACACACTACATTAATGTATTACAATAGATAGTCAATAACAACTTTCTGTACCTACTAACCTAAATATTATTAATAAGGTACACAATATTGTTAAATTAAAAAAAAAATGTATTTTTACATTTTTCTAATATATGCTTAAAACAGTGATTCACAGTAATGGATTTTTATGTTCATTAAGTTTTACATAGAAAATTTTGTTAACAATAACTGTAGAAATTATGTATTAATCTAGCTTACTAATAATAGTGAAAAATTAAAATATTTTTCTTGTATCAAGATTTTTTCTGAATTTTAAAACAAATACCATAGGAAATACACCTTATAATAGTAGAACTAGTAGAACAATAGAACTGTCTTAGTATAAGGTCTATGACAATTGACAAATGTCAAATACCTATAAAAATTGTCGTTATCACACTATCATTAATAACTATAGACATTATCACTAATCACCAACATTAGATAATAGCTTTTAGAAAAATAACGAATGATAACGATTATTGTTATCTACACTTATTAAAATAATAACAATTAAGTATAGTATACTCAATACTGCCGTACACTTGTCATGTGTTGAATATTACGTAATTATTTAAATGTAAACACTAAATACAATATAGTAATTCGGCGATCGAGCCATCAGAATTACATTGCGTTACCGCACGACGGGTCTCGCCGCCACCGCCATCTACGCTGTTGCTTCACGGAAATCCTCGAAACAGCGATGGCGGTTAACTTGGATATACAACTAAAGCGATCGAACAAGGTGTATCGCGAAGGCGTAAGTACGCACCGATTCTTGTTGATGTCCATCAACAATAATGTAATCAGTATAACTTTTGCAGGACACGATTTCCGGGGTGGTGATCATCGACACGTCAACTGACGTCAAACATGAAGGCGTCATCATGACCATCGAAGGCACAGTCGATTTGCAGATCAGCACTCAAAACGTAGGTGCTTTCGACGCTTTCTATAATTCTATCAAGGTATGTACGTGTCGATGTTATTGCATTGATGTTACTATCAATTGTCTGCAACTTTTCAGCCGGTGCAATTGATGATGTGTTCGTTGGAAATAGCCCGTGCTGGCAGGTTTCCGAGCGGTACTACTGAAATACCATTCGAAGCGCCCGTCACTCCGCTCCTGAACAAAGTGTTATACGAGTCTTATCATGGCGTGTTCATTAACATTCAGTATCTACTTAAGGCTGTTATCAAAAGGAATTTCCTGAATAAGGACATTCATAAATCACTTGAGTTTGTTATTGAAAATACTGTAGGTAAACATTGGTAAACACTGAAAATCGTCCTTTAATGAACGAATAAATTTATTTTTTATGGTTTTATAGCCGTGTTTAAATGTGCTCTCTTCTAAAGTGGACAAGTTTGTGATAAATCAAAATACTTTGGCAAATGTTAATGACAATTCAAATATACCTAAGTTTCATATCATCGGATCAATTGATTCGGTTATCTGTTCAATAATGCAGCCATTTACTGGAGAAGTGAGATATGATGTGTACTGCAATTGATTACTCCTTAGTTAATTTAAATATTTGTTTTATCAATTTTTAGGTGAAAATTGAACATTCTGATATCCCCATTAAATCAATAGATATACAATTGGTGCGCGTTGAAACTTGTGGTTGTGCTGAAGGTTTCTCAAAAGATGGTAAATTTTTTATTTTCACTTAAATGGACATTACAATTACATGTGCTGTCTTTGTCTTAGAAACCTGTAATATTAGCAAATTTGCATTAAGCAAAACCGATTTTGTTTTGTCACCTTTAATATGAGAATGAATTGATCTATTATCAAAGTTAAAAGTAAGAACATAATAATATATATTCTCTCGTTGGTTTTTTACTTTTTTTTTATTTTTAAGTTAGTTATGAGTTTATAAAATATTAATATTTAAAAATACTCAAATTCACTTTAAAATTAAAGTATTGTAAAAACTGACGAGAAAATACGGTTAATGTTTTTACTTTTCAATACAAATAATACAATAATAGATTATTTTTCAATTAAATATTTAAGTTAAGCATACAAAATTGAAACTCTTAAATGTATATTTTGATATAATATATGTTAGTAAAATAAAGACAACACATATTGGTACTTAATTTTTTCAGAAAAATTTAAATTGTATTAATTACATTGTATAAAAATTGTATAGCCACTGAAATTCAAAACATTCAAATTGCTGAAGGAAATGTATCAACAGGTATCTCAATTCCAATTTATATGATATTTCCAAGATTGTTTTCTTGTTCTACCACAAAAACAACAAATTTCAAAATAGGTAAATTTCCATCAAATAAAAATTTTTACATTCATTTGAACTATTTATTGTTGTTAATATACTCATAAGCATATTTAAAAGGAGGAGTGATCCAAGTATTATGGACTATAAAATGCCCAACATATTTTTATTAAACATTTAATCATACATTTTTTATAATACCTAACAATGAAAATAACAAGAATTAATTCTAAGTATGTTTATTAAATTCTGTGAACTAAATTTATCGCAGAAATCTGTGAGTCCAAATTACATGATAAATAATAAACATTTGTATAATAAATCACAATTCATTATCGTTGTAATGATAAATAAATAATAATAATGATTCTTCATTGAAAACTATATTTTATGAATAAATATATGAATTGTAATAAAAATTATAATATCGAGTTACGTAAACAATCAAACATTTATAGTGAGCTAATATTGGCCTACAATGAGTTTACTCAGTTTTAGTGAAGAATTAAATTAATCAATTTTACACACAACTCTGTTGTAATTTATAATGTTGTTAATTTTATATTAAAAACATAATAAAAAAGAACATTTTATTAAAATTAAAGAAATTATAATTTTGAAGCAAAAAAATCTATAACATCTGTTTAACACTCCTCCATAAAATTATTTGCTAAATATGCCCGATTATAGCTGAGTATAATGCTAATTGTCAATACAGAATTTCTCATTAGAAAACAAATTTATATGTTAATTCATATATTTATCATTAAACTATTTGAAATCTAATTAGAAAAAATACAAAATTTAAATAAAAAAATTATAATTCAAATTACATGAGATTAAAAACTATTCATTTTTTTAAAATCTCAACTTTTAAGCATTTAATTGAAATATATATTAAGACTCAGTTTTAAAGTAGACTTAATCAACATTCCACAATTAAATAATACAATTATTTACAATATATTGTTATTATTTATTACTTTAGAGATCATAGATGAAATGTAAATAGTTCAAATGATTTACAATTAATGTAGATTGCATATTTATAATTTACAATATATTTTTATGCATTTTAAGTGCATATATTAAAAAATAAATAATTATATATTTTATAGTTTTTTAAAATCTTACATTTGAGATACCTAGTGTATCTATTCTCTAATGATTAAATTGGTATAGGTAATTTTGACTATTTACCAATTGATGTTGAACGTTTTTTATTGTTTCTAGCAAAGTATCTATTAAACATTAACATATGATTTTGTTTTTAACTAATTTTTTTTTTTCAGAGTTTGAAATAAACATTTCAATTATTTTTGTTGACGATCATTTGGTAACTGAAAATTTTCCAATCACTCTTTATAGATGAACTAAAAATTGTTATTTGTATAGTTTTTTTAAAAATAAAATTTGAAATTTACGTTTTCAAATATTTTTGTTTATTTATATTAACAATTTCTTGTGTAGAGTATAAATATTAATTGGTAAAAATGCCCATAAAACGTATCCAATAAATCAGTGGTCTTCTAAGAGTTACTATTTTAAGACATTCATAATATTGGTAATTATTGGTAATAAGAAAAATGCTTATCAAATTTAATTGTTTCCATTAATGTCAATTGATAAAGTATATAATATATTTAAGTTTAGTTATTTGATAAATTTTAGACAGGTATTTTTCTTAATACTAATTATTAATATTGATATATTGTGAACGTTGTAATGTACCTAATTGTGTAGCCAACACTCAACATTAACAAAGCCTGTGACCTGTACCCAATGAGGAATAGTTGTTAGAATTAATATAATATTATTTGTAAATTGACAAATAATAATTGTGTATACCTCTACCTACTTAACCTGTCGTTGGTAACGCAATGAGCATTTCGTTCACACAATTAATATTTTTAGAACCTTTGGTTTATATTTTATTCGATTTTGACTATTATATCAATGCTCAATGAGTTATTCACAAAAATAAGTATGGAAAAACATTAATAAATAAATAATTACAATAATAAACATTATAAATAAACTAACAAAGTTATTGAAGTCCAAATTGTTCAATGTTGTCATACATGTAGTAATAATATATGTTATGTTAGCGTTGTACTCGCACGTCACTGATCGCCTTACCAATTTACCATATTATCTTGTTATTTTATTATCTCATTATATTATTTTATTATTATGTTTTAGCAGTTCAGTATTGATATTTATCAGTATCACGGTGTATACATTTGTAGGTTTGTGCTTGTATTTTAATAGGTGAGCATTTCGATAACACATCACTAACGGTGTTAACCAAATAACGTCACTGACGACGGGTTAAATAATTTAAATATTTATAATGAGTTAATAAATATCACTATCTCTTTTCAAAAAACCTGTAATAGTTGAAAATAATGAAAATGAAATGACGGAAACAAATGAAAATGAACAAGGAGTAGAAATGGACGAAATGCCTAGAAAAAAAGGTAAAAACATCGAACTACACATTTTTAAAATAAAATATATTAGTTATGGGTTTACTTACATAAATGAAAACTGAATAGATTTGCCACAATGTTATTTATAATATTGTACTAGTAAATGCTTTTTATAGCCAAATAAACTTATCTTGAAACTAATAATAATGAATAAAGAAATAAAAATACAGAATTTTTTAAAGAAAATGTGATGAGTAAAAAAAAATAAAGATTAAATTATACACCGCAGTTGTCAAGGTGTATTTAAAATGCTCTTTATATTTGTATGTTAAAGACAAAAAAGTCGTATAATATTGATGAAAAATTAATCAAATCTTGTATGGTCAATACATTATGTTCAAAACTATTTGGTAATGATCACATTTCAAAAATAAAAAAATATTCCTATGTCTCATAAGTGATGACACTATTCACAGACAAATATTTTGTATTGCTCACGATATCGAATAATGGCTTGTTGAAAAAATTAACAAATCATTATTTTATGTCATCCAGTTAGATGAAATAACAGATTTAAGTAATTCAGCTATGTTATTAATTTATTTATGCAAGATACATTGATGATACTTTTAACGATATAAAAGAAAAGATTTTATGTACTATAAAGTTGAGAACATTTATTACAGCAGATGAAATTTTTAATACAATGAATATTAAAAAATATTAACTGGGCTTTTAAAATGATATTGTTATTAAAAAAAATAATAAATATGTATAATAAAATTATTAAAATAATTTGAGTAAAAAAACTAATTAAAAGTATCCAATTGTTATTTTTTATTCCCTCATTGAACATTATTTATAAAAAGGTCATATAAAAAATTGGGTAAATATCTTGAGTCACCACTACACAAAGTTGAGAACCGCTGTTATAAGCCATTTTTAACTCAGATTATAAAAATATGATTGATGTTGTTATAATTAAATTACAAAACTAAAAAATACATTTTTCTCCTAAGATATATTTTACTTTATTGATTATATCGTTGAACATGATTTTATTAACACGTATAATTGTAAATAAACAAACAATACACAGAGTACACACATATTTTAACAACGAGTTTATATTTACAAATATTAACTTAAAATGTATAATTATAAATTAGAATAGCTTCGTATAACATATTTTATGATATAATTTTAAAATTAGTATGTCTAATGTACGCACGTACATTATTTTAATTTCCATATTATACAAATTATACTTGTCATTATTGAATGCTAAATTTTAGTAGCATTAGAAAAATGTGCCATCCTGTGTATAGGCGAGGATAATAATTAAAATTAAATAGCCTGGATTCTGGGCAATCAAATCAAATCAGCAACTGAAAATAAGAACAATTTTGATGTTATTAAAAATTTTATATTATGTTAAGTTAAGATAGGTTAACATTCATAGCAATTACAAAATTCAGTTTAAAATAGATAAGCAAAAAAAATCATTAGCATTAATGGCATTTATTATACTTACCATTCATAGGCATTTCATCGATTTGTGTCGAATAATACTGTTCAATATCACGTAAAATTCTAACATCATCGATTTTTACAAAATTAATTGCCACACCTTTGCGACCAAATCTTCCAGAACGACCAATTCTGCATAATTATAAAAAAAAAAAAGTATACTAAATATAAATAAATAAGTATAGCCTTAAGTTAGCAGAAAAACTAATTTTGAACAATAAGGGAGATATGCATTTTGTTACGTATGTATTTTCTTTTATTCATCAATCAATAAATTTGTTGACAAATCTGATGGCAACAATAGAAATAATTCAAGTGTATCCTATTGTACTCAATAAAAATAATTCACCTGTGTATATACAGTTCACGATTGATAGGTAAATCATAATTTATGACCAATGAAACTTGTTGAACATCAATACCACGAGCCAAAATGTCTGTAGTAATTAAGACTCTTCTGCAAATATTAAAAAAAATATATATACATTAGAAATGTTATTTAAAAACTTGATATAAAACATTTAATTTAAACGTATTAAATGGTCTTACAAACTCAAACAAATAGTATGTAAAACAATAAAATATATTATATAAAAGTTGGCAAACCCCATTTAGAAAATGAATGACAGAAATCAATTGTTTTTATTTATCATAAAAAGAGGATCTTATTTATAATATTATGAGTAAAGCATTTGATAAAAAAATATATAGTTATAAATAATTTTAAGCATCCAAACAAATTTTAAACACTATAAATTTTATGTACCTAGTACATAAAATAATTAAACACAAAAAAAAAAAAAATTTAATGGTCTAAAAGTTGTATAAAAAATACTATGTTTTTAAATATATATGTGGAATTTTAAGTGTTAAGTCATAAATCACCATTGATCAAAATAATCTATAGCTAAAATACAAGTATTGTATTTGCTTTTACGATTAAAATAATTATAGAAAAAAATAATTTGATTATAAGTTATAAAATTAATTTCTTTAAATTTTATACATTTTTTCAAATGTTTGTATTATTTGCATAATATTAAAAATTGTATCAAGATAGTTTAAAAACAATTAAAATTAAAACTTAATAGAAAAATATGTCATGTTCAATTGTAAGAACATCCGAGGTTTGACAGATATGGTAAAAAGCATGATAAGATGCAGGCAATTCAATAATTTAATTTAAATTACAATATCTGCAAACTATAACAACTAAGTAATAATAAGTATAACTCATGAGACATAATTATTAACGGAAGATATAATCTTATTTAAACTTGATTTTAATTCTTTTATTAATGGTAAAGTCTCATTTATTTTCTTTCGTCATGTTAAATAATTATAAACATAAAAAAAAAAACCACAATCATTTTGAGTCATTACGTAATGTAAAGAGACAAAAACACAGATTAAGAAGTACATTTTAAAAGCAAATATCACACTAGTTAAAACCACTTACAACTGTTGAAAAATGTAGAAGTATAACATTATTTTCAAAACATGTTTTTTTTAAATATTTTAAGCAGTTAATCAATTTAATTTTTTACATAATTATAATATAAAATTTATGCTGGTTGTTATTTTTATTTAATATGTTATATTCTACACTAGTGTTTTCCAATCTTTTTCTAATGACGACTCATAAATTTAACTACTTGTTGGTTATGCAACCCACCCACACTAACACTAAAAAAAAAAATTTCTGTATTGTACTGAATTGCCTGATGGAACTGGTTGACTGGTACTAGCGGATGTGGTTTTACAAACAATAAATTTATCTATTAGAAAAATTAAAACTTCATATACATTATATATAGTTGAGTATTTAAAAATGAGTGTCAAATTTATTGTTAACTTAAACTTTTCGTTTGTACCTACTCTCGTAGTTTCTATGTACTGCTTATTGATCAACTGTATGAAAAATTGGCTGATACCACATCAACAGTTATTAGCAAAATATATACTGATAAGATAAAAATATAATACAAACTTTACTAAAGATATATTAATATTTATATTGTAGAATCTATAATACTAGTGAGACTTTATATTTTGTTAAAATTATTTTCATGTATATTTAAATGATGGTCATGATTGGTGACCCATAAAAAAAATTTAGCAAACCAAGATTGGGTCGCGATCCATAGATTTGGAAACACTCTATAAATAATATTCTACAGTAATTTAATATTTAAACAATTTCATGCATATTTATTATTTGTATTAATACATTTTATTGAGGTTTTTTTTTTATATATTTATGATTTATTTTAGTTTTTATATTATAAGTTATAATAATATATTAAAAATAATTTATACATATAAATTATTTTGTTATATTACAACGGTAAACATAATTATATCATTCAACAAACTAATGAATAATTTATTCATATTAAATAATATTATATGCATATAGTATATGCTTAATTTTTTTTAAAATTTTCTTATTTATTCTTGTTATAATCTAAAATACAAGCAAAAGCTATCAAAAAAAAAAAAAAAATAATATTTTTTATCATATCCATTCTAGAACATATAAATCATACTATGATAGTAAATTTAAAAAACTTAGTTTTATAATTTAAAATATACTTAAGCCTACCATTTTAAGTACATATAATAATTTCAATGCTTTCATGTTATAAATAAAAACTGGTAATATACAAAAATATTTTTACTTTAAAACAAAATGTTATTTAGTGTAGTATTTTGGTGTACTAAAAATATTTAGTAAATGATACATAATGTAAACAATTTTTATCTTAATATTTTATAAAGTACTTTGTCCATAAAAGCATTACTTTTGTCAAATTTAGAATGATAAATGAAAATACAATATATAACTTGATATTATACAACTTGCAACTAATGACAATAGTCTACTATAATATAACTATTAGTAGTAACTTGACACAATTCATGTCCCAACCTCAATAGATAACTATAATATAAAGTAAATAACACATTTATATTATAGTTTTGTGCTATTAGTGTGATTTATGATATTATATTTAAACACAAACTATATAATACAAATATTTTTAGACTACTAAAATTATATTATTTTTAAGCATTATTTTGTACAAACTTTTAAGTTGACTTATGAATGGTAGGGTACAGGGAAAAAACGGTAGTAGTCCATTTCTGTAAATTTTTCAGGGAAGCAAAAATAGTTATGGACTAAAATCTTTCTTCACCAGTATATCTAATCTTTTCCATTTAATAACTATGGACTTAAAGATTTTTTCACTGAATCGATTTCAACTGTCAAAATTACTCCTTATTTGCTATCAAATTAAACCATAAAAACAAAATCGAAAAAATGGACTAGTACCGCTTTTCCCCTGTACCTTTCATATCTATTAAGTCTAACACCTTTATTAAAAGGAAACACTTACGTTTGTCCACCATGAAATTCCTTCATTATTATGTCTCTCTCTTTTTGTGGCATGTCTCCATGCATTGAACTGACTGTGAAATTAGATTCCCTCATCTTTTCAGTGAGCCAGTCTACCTAAATAAACAATTATAATAATATGGTATAAGTTAGTAATAATTTTCATTTGTTTTAGTAAAAAATAACCACAAACCTTCCTTCTTGTGCTACAAAAAATGACGGCTTTAGTTATTGTTAGAGTATCATAAAGATCACACAATGTGTCAAATTTCCATTCTTCTCGTTCAACTGCGACAAAGAACTGTTTTATATCTTCAAGAGTCAGTTCATCACTAAAAATATAATTGATAGTTATGTTTGACCATTTTAATTCTAAAAATATATGTTCACACAAACCGTTTAACTATTATCCTAAAAGGATTGGTCATGAACTTATTGGTCATTTCTAATATTTCATGTGGCAATGTAGCAGATATTAAGATAACCTAAAGAAATGAATAAAATTAGAAAATTATTTGAACTAAAACAAAAATAATGTCAAGTATAATCATACCTGAGTAGCAGGTGGCAAGAAACGATATATGTTATATATTTGTTTCTTGAATCCTTGGCTCAACATTTCGTCTGCTTCATCTAACACTAAAGTTTTTATATTACGTGTACGCAATATTTTACGTCTTATCATATCTATAAAAATTATTATAGTTAATTAATATATATCTTTTTAAATGATTGTACAATGTTAAACATACCAAACACACGTCCAGGAGTTCCAGAAACAATATGCTGACCAAAATCCAATTTTCTTAAGTCTTCGCCAAGGTTAGTACCACCAACACAAGCATGACACTGAACATTTAAATAATCTCCTAATGCTAAAACTACCTAAATAATAATTTAATTGGATTAATAAATTATTTAAGTTCTAAATTAAACTATCATTGGAAGAAACTAAAATTAATTAAGAACATTTTGATTTAATGATTAAATAGCAATTAATTAAATTTAAATTGGTTTTAGTTATTAAAAAACAAAGTATCTAAAAAGTATTTAGATGTTTTTAATCAATTTTAAACATAAGAAAACATAACATAATTTGTATCTAATAGGAATTTTACGATTAATTTTCATGCAAATTCATGTCATTCTTTGTAGAAAACTTAGTAATATCTTGATTATTTTAATAAATAATTATTTAAACTTTATTTGAGTACTTAAATTTATTACAACACTAAGTAATTCTTTTTAATTTAATAGCTATTCACATGTGGGGTATGTTACAATTGTTATAATAGATAATTATAACTTATTTCAATAATATACTTTTTCACAATGAGTAAAATATGGGAAAAACTCTTTACTTACTATATTCTACATGTGTATATCACAATTTTTACAGATGCCTCTTTTAAGATAAAATTATTTTCTAATTATTTTAAAGTAAAAATGTATACATGTTAAAATGAAATTATTAAACATTTTATTGTTTAATTTTTTAATATGAATATCAATTAATTAAATTTAAAACCAATAACAATGCTGAACCACTTAAAAGTTTTTTTTTTTATTAAATATCTATACTATTATACAAATATTATAATTTATAATTTATAAAACAGGAACTGCAATCTAAGTAACCAATAATATGTTGTACTTTTGTGCAATGTGCATATGTCATATATAGGTTAAAATGTCTATATTGTAACCTAATAAATACTCTATTCAAATTAAGAAAATTCTCAGTGGTGACCTAGTCTAGCAAAGGTTAAACATCGTCCATTTACTTACACCCCTGCATACGAATCAGTTGCCGTGTACAATACTTAAATTAAACTAGTAATAAGTTAATATATCTATTTTAGTGAATACTAGATTTCTTAAGTAACATATTAGTAGATGTCATAATACACATATTTTTCAACAAATTTAATTCACTATAAAATATATCACATCAGTTGTTTAGAACTAATTTGCATTTCATATTACTATTGGTAATACACAATATAATCATAATAAATAGGGAGAAAAACAAAATATATTTAAAAATTACATACCTTTTGAATTTGTACGGCTAGTTCTCGAGTTGGCGAAAGACATAACACTTGAGTGTCTCTGAGCGCCATGTCAATACGTTGTAACATAGCGATTGAAATTGTAGCCGTCTTGCCAGTACCCGACTGGGCTTGAGCTATAACGTCGCGTCCTTTGACCATCGGCATTATGGCACGCTGTTGGATGGCTGAAGGCCGTTCAAAGCCTAAATATAAAAAGTACATTTATGTATAAATAAATATATAGTGTGTTCTAATGACTAATCGGTCCACTGCGGCGTTGTTGAATAAGACTTACCGTACGCGAATATGCCACGAATGAGGTCTTCCCGGAGGTTCATGAGGTTAAACGTAGGCACTACCTCAACACCATCACTGGTATCGAATTCTACGTGCGATAAATCAACTTGATTAAGTCGGTCAGACATAGTGCGACAGAATAAATACGACGATAGTAAATGAAAACCAAACGACGATTTCGATTTCTAGTACGATCACGGCCGTGGTGTCACAACACACAACAAATAAATGTTTATTATAACGCAATGCCGAATTTGTTCAATTCGAATCAATTGACGCGGGTGTTCATACACAACAGTAAACAGCAGCGATTACTAATAAACCCACACCATTGGCTGGCGGTGACATGGAGTAAAAAACGACGGTGGTTAGTCGACGCCCCTCATGTACACGCGTTACTCAATAAAGGGCACTTGACTTCGATCGTATTGCGTTTGTTTAATAAAACAACCGTTGGCTACGTACACCGTACACGGAAACTGTAACAGTCAGCAATCTACATCCTTTAATTCGATTCAAAATTAATAGGATTTTTATTATTTTTATGTATGGGCTGGTTCACGAAAAGTGGCAGATGACCGTCACGATCCAAACGGACTGTTTATTGTACTGGTTATCAAACAACAATATAGAACCAAATGTTTAGTGCTGTGCCACAACCGATCCGAATTCCAAGAATAAAAATTAAAAAGGGAACCATTGTTTACACAGTGAGTGAGGTTCAGGGATCAGCAGCGAACTGCCGCTAATTTTCGTAAGTCGGTCCCCTGAGGCCTGACTATAATGAAAGTCTATATTAACTGGTAAATATCAGTCAACGTATAGTTTATCAGATTATTATGAAAATAAATAATCAGTTTGATATTATTTTTCACCGTTGCTTGACAACAATGATTATTGTGTGCAATGAGTCATAGTGTTTACAGTAAAAACTGTTTGATCGTACTTTAACAGTATTCATATTAGTTTATTCTGTGTCAGTTGTAATTATATTGTTTGAATACTTTGTTTTTTTCTGCTATATTTGATGTTTAAATCAGGTAATTTCAATGCTTTTGAATGAATTCAATTTCATTAAAATTATTTTCGTTGATACAATGAATACTTTTTGTAATTACAAATATTGTATCACTCTTACCGGACTGTACAATAAATTCAGTCGTGCTGGTGGCATATGTTATCATCTATGATTCTATTTTAGTTTAAAAGTAGCTACTTTATCGTTTCTTTGTGCTTGCCATTAAATAATTTTTATAATTTGTTTTAGTAGATGCATCAAACACATACCAAGGTAAAACATTGTATACAATTTTCAGAACCTGGATTCGTAATTGTTAAGATAATATTGAAGTAGAGACAGTGATAAACTTAAGGTAGCTTGATATACAAGATAGTTGAAACGTTTGTTTTCAAATAGTCTACAGGTGTTAAAACTAAAATGTTTCAAAATGTTTGGATAGATAATAAGTGTTTGTTATATTTTATTTCGATTGATAACATGCAGTCTGCTAATAGGTTATGGTTAACAACAAAAATGGATAATATTGCGAATATTCTAATATTTTGTGAGCTGGATGTGATTTGTATGAAACTTCATATTCATGTCATCTATTTTCCATTGTTTGAAACAATAACCTTTTTTTCGTGCTTCATATAGGCTGATATAGTGAGTGTAATAAAGCGGTAGCAATGCAGCAACCC